GGACCAACTCCCTCACTCCTATCCAGATCCCCCAGCAGGTCAGCTTGGTAAGCCTGGAGCACTGCCATAGTGTGCAGACATGCTCCAGCTTGACCTGCTGCCGTATAAGCTTTGCTCACTAAAACCGAAGTTGCTTTAAGCGGTTTAGTGGGCAAAGCTGAGGCCTTCAGAGACGATGCTGGACCAGGTGACAGATAGCTCGCGAGTGTCTGTTCCGCCTGGGGCATCGCCTCATATCCGTACTCTTTCAGCCCTCTTATACCTGAATATAAATGAACCTGAGGGCTGAAAAGTCGTGACGAGTACGGCTTATTCCACGATCTAGATAGCTCACTATGAAGATCGGGGAAAAGGGGAAGGCCTCGTGGTGGAGATGATGTGGTTGAAGAAAGGAAGCCCCTTTTCTCAACTGGCCATTCAATATTTAATTTCTCTACAGCCCGAGACATCACCTCCACCAGCTCCTCATATGCTGGGGAAACAGGTGGCGAATCTCTTTCCCCAGTGTGTGTGCTTTCACTCTCCATACTCATTACATCAACCTCCTCAGAGGAAGAGCACTGAAGTAATGGAGGACTCTCTCCCCGGGCGGAAGAAGCTGCAGAGCGGGCTTCCGACACCGGGGGGAGAGCACTGGATCCTCCGGATAAGGAAGGAGAAAAGGCCCTCGGACCCGTCTCCAACCCCTCCGAAAGATCCTTTTGCGATCCCCAAGAATGCATTCTCCGTGTTGCCTCGGCAACAGCGGGTCCTGCACCCTGAGGATCGCGAGCCTGACCATTCTCGTCAAAGAGTGACAGGCGAGAGCGGAGCATGCGAAGCGGAAGCATCTCACAATGCTGGCACTCAGCCCCCTCGAAGACTGAAACCGCATGCTCCATTCCCAAACAAATGACACAAAGCTCGTGTGTGTCCCCACCCGTTAAATAACACGGGCAGGGAGAAGCACACTGTTTGTACATTTGTTTCACCATAACTCTTTCCAATATATATGCAACAGACAACAATAAATAGACAGAGACAGTATAACACAGATCGCTTGCTGAGGCACAGAAGCTAATGCCGGTTTGCACCGGATGTGCTTTTATCCCTTCCTGGTCATGACGTCACCCGCCCGTGACGCTCATTCTTTCCATTGGACTAGTTGACATAGATGCTTCAGACGCATTCACACTGGGGGCGTTCCCAAAGCGTCGTTGACGCATCGCGAGTTCCCTCGAAAGGGAACAGCCAACTGCTACGGCTGTGTTCTGAAGCTGAAGCTCTGGAATATGGAAAAGACAGTAAGGAAGCCACTGAATCATGACTGAATCATGGTTCAAACTAAAATGAATATTTGAGCTTTGGATCTGCAGTATGTATATAAGTCCTTGCATAAATGGGAGTTGGTGGGCTTCGCTTTTATCAATGATGGCACATTTCAGGGAAAAAAACAACAACTGCATTAAATCCTTTGAAATGTCAGATCTCGATATTACAGTGTTTGCACCACAATCCCAGATTTTCTTTTTATCTGCCACCTGGGACCTGCAGGGATTTCCATTTCATTATTGTTATTTTTTTATGTGACATTGTTAAAGTTTGCAATGGAAGTATTCACACAGAAACATTACATTTTATTTTACATTATTTTACAGTTGTGTAATGTTGGGAAGTAATCATTTTAATTACCTCTGCCTCAACTTTGAAAATGTGTCAGTTGTCCATCAGATTAGAATAAATTCACATTACATTGTGGCATATGCATTATAACTAGCTTTCAACAACTAAACCTGTTGAAAGGCTTACAGTCAGCAAGACAGACATGGATCAACATCCTCTCCCTCTGATTACAATGAAGAAGTTACAAGATGTACCGGGGGAAATGTTTGGTGTACTGAAACACTTAAGTTCACCCAAGTTTATTGATGCCATGAGCATGAAACCATTGAAGTCACCATTGAAGTGCATTTTGTAGATGGCCTTAGTAGCACTATATTCTTTAAAATATAACACTGTTATACACCATATTCTTTAATTTAATGCATTGTTCTAAGACTTTTTAGGTTGCTTTAGTATGCTGTTGGCTGGGCAGGGGTGCGTTTCCCGTACAACGACGTAACTCAATGCTTCACTACCATAGTACGATGCATCGTTGAAGAAATCAACTAGCTAGTCACGACTGTTTCCCGAAACCATATTGTCGCAAAGTGGTCGTTCAACCACGTTGGTTTATGACGTCACGCACGTGGTGGAGTAATAATAACTTATTTTAATGAAAATGTTTGAGATCGAATTAATGCTAGATGTTTTGATATAAATTACAGACATGGCATCTAAGGACTATTTCTCATTTTTCTCAGTTATTTCGCTTTATTTCCAGATTCAATCATTGGCTCGATCTTACAGAGCACGTTCGATGCGCAGTCTTCAAAAACGGTGCTTTAAATATCTTGACAAACTCAAAGATGCAAATGACATTTGTATGTATTCTAAATAAAAGACACAGTTTGTACTGAATGTCAGCTTGCTTATTTTGCTCAAGATAAGGATTTATTAAGTCCACATGTCATGCAATCTAGAAAGTATGCTTCTAACCACAGGTCGAGAGCTGTCGTTTCAACCACACAACTTTGTGATGCTGTTTGCGAATGTTCGTTGGAACGATGGTTTCGGGAAACACAGACTTGTTGAACTATGCTGATAACGACAGAACTTGCGACCATAGTTGGCTAACGATGCTTTCGGGGAAAACGCACCCCTGGGTGGTTGCTTATCACCTCCTCATAGATGTGTGTCCCATATCTGTCAATGTAAATCTATGGGATTTGTGCCTATTTTCACCTCACCTCAACAAGCCACATAATTTGAGACATTATTCATGCCTGCACACACACACACACACACACACACACACGTCATTTCAGTATTTCGGTGTCCAACCCTGAACACTCATTATTTTCTGCTCTCCCACTCTCAGTCCATCATTACAGTCATCTGATTAAGTTGTAAAACTTTGTAGTTCTTACTTTCATGTTTTCTAAAGCTCTGTATTTAGTCTGTGCAGGCAATGACTCATTTACCGTACAGTTATCAGCAGATACTAGATGACACATTATTGTGCAAAAGCCTTCTGACGCACACATTCAGATAGAAGACCCTTCATCCAGACACCTGACCGATGATCACCAGTAGGCACAATAAATCTTCTCTTTTACAGGAAAAGTAATTCACTGATAAATTACTTGCAGGGCTGTTTTTATGAACAATGGGCTTGTTTCAAAACCCTACTGGCCATCCGTCACGAAACAGATGATCATATGCTTTTGAGGATGTGTCTAGTGCTTAGATTTCATGCCGTGCAGTAGCTTGGAGACCTTGGAGCATGATCATGTTTTTTTTTCTACCTTTCAAAGTGGTATCTCAGAGAATAAAGCGAGAGATGATGAATTAGTGCAAGGCAATAATTCATAACCGTAATTAGGTATCCTCTGGGTCTGGTTTTGAAAGGTCTGGTTATTTAAAATGCCATATTTAGTCAATAGCTTCTGTTACTAGACGCATGCATGCTTTTTGTTTTTCATCCTGAATGGATCCCTATTCTTTGCCATCTATATGCTCTTTAGTGAGGTTTGTTAAGGTAAGCTTCACTACTTTTATAAATTATATTTAAATGTAAGGATTTAAACTAACCCCTCTAACCGCCTAGGATAAGATAGAAGAAAAAGCCCCCCTTAAGACCAGTGTGCATTTATTGCTAAACTGTAACATATTTAAAGGGGTCACACTTTTTTTATAAAGTTCTCTGAGGTCCACTTATAATGTTATCAAGATTTTTAAATAAAAATAAGCAATAACAAGTTATTTTCTATCCTGTTTTTGATCCTCGCTTTCGAACACTCTGTTTTGAAAGGCGTGCCGCATTCAAGACTTGGAAGTAAATGCCCACTGCTATGATTGGGTAACAGTTTTGCACAATAAAATAAGTAAGCACTTGGAATTTCCAGAGTTATAATTGAAAAAAAGGATGACTTACAGTGTTTAGTGTAAACAGAATTATGAATGAATGTACCATTGTTTGTTACACTGTCGTTTTTATAGGCTGTTCATCCTTTTCGATAAAGTGAAAAATATATATATTGTCATTTGCAGTGTCGTGTTAGTTAAATTTTCTAAATTTAAATTAAAGTAAGACTGAGATTATTGTACTTGGGCCTTCTGAGGCCAAAAACATCCAATATCAGTTTTGGTTCTCTTTCCCATTATGTAAAACCTTGTGTAAAAAACTTGGGAGTATACTTGGATAGTGCTCTTAACTTTGATATACAGGTCAGTTCTGTGGTCAAATCTAGTTTCTTCCATCTAAGAGCACTGGCAAAGGTGAAGACTTTTTTTGTCCTTTAAGAAATTTGAGAGGGCTATTCATGCCCTTTTTACTTCAACGCTTGACTACTGCAACTCACTCAACATAGGTGAGTGGTACAAGTGGTACAAAATGCAATGTTTTGTTTTCCATAGCTTTTAATCAATGATGCAGTGCCTATTTTGTCTGGTTATTGTTTGTTGTGTGCCAAACTGTATTTAGTTCTGTATTCTATGCACAGCACATTGGTCAACAGTTGTTTTAAAATTGTGCTCTTTAAATAAAGTGACATTGACATGCGTACTACTTGTTCATTCTGGTGCGTAGGGTTTCTTTACAAAGTGACATCGCCCACTACTGGGCTGGCATGTGTGTTTTTAGTCGTTTTCGTGTATCCGTATGAACAGGGATCATTTTGACAAGGTTGTTGTCTGTTCGCGAAAAGAGCAAAAGAAAAACTTTAACGTTTTTTTATAAGACACCAGTCATTATCGTGGAATAACGGACTTCAGAATTATGTACCTGGCCAATCAGAATTAAGCATTTCAGAGAGCCATGTAATTTAGGTTCTTCAAGGAACCATTAATGCCAATAAATAATCTATATTTTAAGAGTTAACTCTTCCTAGATTAAACATTATTCGTTTCATTTTGTGCAGGTTAAAGATGCCCTACCCCCCATCACAGTGACTCCAAGAAAAGTCTACAACATTCCCATTCAATTCCTCAAGATGAACACTTCAGAGACCACCCCTCTTTCCCTCTGGGCCATCCATGTCAACTCCAGTCCTGTTTCGTACATCCTCAATGTTACCGAGACCTCATCCCATGCCAAGCCAAAAGCATGCGAGCAGCTCAACATCGCCACTGAGGTGTTCCTCATCCTTGGCATTGTCAGTCTACTGGAAAACATCCTGGTCATCTGCGCCATAGTGAAAAACAAAAACCTACACTCGCCCATGTATTTCTTCGTCTGCAGCCTGGCCGTAGCCGACATGCTGGTGAGTGTCTCCAACGCCTGGGAGACCATAGTCATCTACTTGCTCACTAACCGCCAGTTGGTGGTGGAGGACCATTTCATCAGACAGATGGACAACGTTTTTGACTCTATGATCTGCATCTCTGTGGTAGCGTCCATGTGTAGTCTTCTAGCTATTGCTGTTGATCGCTACGTCACGATTTTCTATGCTCTACGATACCACAACATCATGACGGTTCGCCGGGCCGCGCTCATCATTGGGGGGATTTGGACCTTCTGCACCGGCTGTGGAATAGTCTTCATAATCTATTCTGACAACACGTCCGTCATCGTGTGCTTGGTCTCCATGTTCTTCATCATGCTAGCACTCATGGCCTCTCTTTACAGCCACATGTTCATGCTGGCGCGTTCTCATGTCAAACGCATTGCCGCCCTGCCGGGCTACAACTCCATCCACCAGAGAGCCAGCATGAAGGCGGCCGTCACACTGACCATTCTTCTCGGGATCTTCATCGTCTGCTGGGCTCCATTCTTTCTCCACCTCATCCTTATGATCTCCTGCCCCAGAAACCTCTACTGCATGTGCTTCATGTCTCATTTCAACATGTACCTCATCCTTATCATGTGCAACTCTGTCATCGACCCACTTATTTACGCTTTCAGGAGTCAGGAAATGCGGAAAACGCTTAAGGAAATCATCTGCTGCTATAGTCTGAGGAACATTTTTGGAATGTCAAGGTAGCGTCAAACCTAAAAAAAGATAGGTGGATTGTCATTTCACAAGAAGAAATCTTTCGATTCATAAAGTCTGAGAGCAGAATGTGCCAACCCCTGTTGATCTAGATGAAAAATAAGATTTTGTTATGATGTATACCATCTACTTACTCCTCATCCTCTATAATGCAAACACTCAGAAATTGAAACTTGAAAAAAGCTGGAGTATTAATAATTAACTCTTCAGGGCACAATGATGCAAAATAGAATATCTAATGAGACCATTTTTGATATTATAAATATATGTAGATGTTGTAATATTGTTGGAGAATTAAGGAGGCCTTAGTTCTATGGAACAATATAATCCTCGTTGAACAATGTGATTTTATAACACAGTCTCTAGGGACACGGAGGAGCTCTTGATCAAAGCCTATGGGAAAAAAAGTGCAATCATTTGTCAAATTAACAATGCAAAACAAAGCCTGTCTAGACATTAATGTTGTATAGGTAAAAATTAAAATGTAATATAGCATGCAGTTTACATTGTTGCATGTGCTCTGTGGTTGGCAGTGAAGGTGAGAAAGAACGAGCAACACTATTGATTTCTAAGATGAAATTCAATGACAAAACTGCTGCAGCAGACTACAATTTTTAAAAACATGGCACAACTATACACACATTAATACATAACATAAAGTATATAAAATAAAAGAATGGAACCAGACTGACTGTGACAAAAATAGATTCACAGTCCTTGAAACCTTAAGTGGATATTTTATGAACAACATGACAAAGAGGATGACAACATTTCTGGTATCATGTCACTAACACATTTTTTGTTAGTCTTTAAAGGCATCAGGAGTTTTCTAATATAGTTGTAATTGAATAGAAATTCTTCACATATGCCTCTATCATAATGTGTGTATATCTATAGCTGCAAAAACAAAATAAAAAATATATTATGACAGTTAATTCTGTATATTAACTCATACAATAAAACAACAGAAATAATAAGTTTTACCTAATTAAAATAAGTATTGCAACTACTAAAATAAAAAACTTAAATAAATATTTCTGACTTGTCCTCACAATTACAAGCATTTGTGGATATGTTGGCAATTTACATATTATTGTAAGCACGAACATGCACTTGAATTTGGGGGTCTGCAGTTATACTCATTTGAAGCATTTACCACAGCCCCTTTAAATGTTATGAAATTAAATTCTATGGCTTTTTTATTTCTTGTATTTGCTATACAATTTCAGGGTGAGAATCAATGTTTGTCATCATGCTGCTTACAGTCACTGCATAAGTTAATCTGTTTGAAATTATAGGGTAAAAGCAAGTGTTTTGTTGGTTTTTCTTCAGTTAATATTTCCCATCGGGGGTATTTTTAATAATAAAGTGCTACATTGATTATAAAACATGAAACAATCAGCAAAACAGCAGAAAAATTCTGAAAATATAAAACACAACTCATCCTAATAAAATGACAACTTCATTTGTTACTCATCAGCTACATCAGAAATATTGATATTTTAGTTTGGACAAAATTACAATAATAAAAATTATCTCTATTTAAAAGGGTTTTAAATTAGATGTGATAGAGCTAAACAGTGTTATAGGTATTTTGACTCAAAACCTTACAAGATATAGTCCTTGTGACAACTATAGCCCTGTTTCTCCTATGGTTAAAACACTTATCCAACGGCTTACACATGTAATCTAAATGTAAATCTGTTCATGCTATGTAAATTCTATGAAACGTTTACATTATATATTTTGCAGTAGGACTCCTGTAGTAGGCTAGTTGATTATTGTCTTGTATTGACTTATAATGGAGCCAGAATTTAAAAGTGTATGTAGGTAATTGCTCAGACTGTGCAAATATGTTCAGTTAGGTTGTTTGTCAGCTTGATTTTTGCCAGTGTATTATCCCCTTCTCTTCACTTTGGTTTAAAGTGGTTCAGTTCATTTCAGTTCAAATCACCGTCCAGTCACTCAAGCATGATGTCAACCCTCCTTACATGTGTTCATGATGGTATTAATAGAATGTGCCTTCAATGTGTTTTGTGCTGTCAAAATGACCCGGAGGTCGTCTGATCTGTCCTCTCGGTCTCTCTGTGGTACATTAACTGCTCAGGTGCTCAGGTTTGCTGGCTCTCCATGAAGAATCAGTGACAGTGTATCTCTAAACCCTTCACTGTTTCAACAGAAAACAACTTGAATCCCGCTCACAAAATAATTTGTTGTGGAGTGGTTTCACATACACAGACAATTATTAGAAAAGTATCATTAATTCCAATCATCCAAAGTGCCACTCACTACAGATATATATATATATATATATATATATATATATATGTGTGTGTGTGTGTGTGTGTTTATATATATATTATATATATATATATATATAAAGAAAGTTTTTCATTCTTGTATTGTGTGAAACAGTGATACAGCTAGTAAGTAATTTAGATTTGAGTGAACAGCAGTAATGCTCCTGCATCTGTGTTATGCTGTATAATATCTTATTTCATGTATTTGGATGCATGTATAATTAAAATATAAGAATAAAGTTCATTCTTGTGACCATTTTTTACTGTTACATGTCTTTTGCATCAATTTACAATATTAAAAGAATATTAATAATTTGCATAACAAAGTACATGTATATAAAGTAATCATGTAGTCTCATTTCTGTCATGATAGCTCTTGGAGTGTTTGGCATGGTAATGGATATGACAATGTTGCTATATTTGGTCGAATAGATGACATCCCATTCTTAATCCGTAGGGTTTAATATGCAGTTGGCTCACCCTTTGCAGCTACAACAGCTTCAACTCTTCGGGGAAGGCTTTCCACAAGGTTTAGGGGTGTGTTTTTGACCATTCTTCCAGAAGCGCATTTGTGAGGTCAGGCACTGATGTTGGTCGAGAAGGCCTGGCTTGCAGTCTCCACTCTAATTCATCCCAAAGGTGTTCTATCGGGTTGAGGTCAGGACTGTGTGGAGGGCAATCAAGTTCATCCACACCAAACTCGCTCATCCATGTCTTTATGGACCTTGCTTTGTGCACTGGTGCACAGACATGTTCGAACAGGAAGGGGCCATCCCCAAACTGTTCCCACAAAGTTGGGAGCATGAAATTGTCCCAAATGTCTTGGTATGCTGAACTATTAAGACAGGGCTATTCAATTAATTTGGAATTGGGGCCAGTTCATGAAACTGAGGCAAAATAAGGGCCGCTTTGTTTTAAAAAGTGGGTGGGACATTGCTAACACAATGCTGAATCATAAATCAAATGTATGTACAATAACATTACGATGTCCAGCAATCGATTTAAATAGTACATTGGGTTTAATTTGTCGTTTAATGATGAATGAATAATGAATAAATACATAGATCTGACTACTTTAAGTGTGTAGCTAGGCCACATAAGGAAAGAATATTTTATATTGCTGTGAAGTATTTGTATAATTCTTACCAGACAGCTGTTCTTTTATAATTATTCTTCCCCGTTTGATTGCCCGGCCATGTGGTTGTGTTCCTGTTCTCTCACGCGAGAGTTTGTTCGCGGAGCTTCAGGGAATCCCCGTGACGTCAGTCTGATCAGCTGGAGTTATGACTTTCACTTCCGTTTAAAAGAGCCGGTAAGTCGGCGTTCGAGAGCAACGCTACTATTGCTCGTTTGGGACTAGCGATCGATCGCACCACACCTTTTGTTTTTGCTCGTCATTGACTGTGATTGTTGGACTCTCTTTGCGGAAATACACCAGTGGATTATTTCACCTTGGAGATCGCTTCACAGGACAGCGCTGTTCCTCTTCCTGTGCACGGACTTTGAAAGGCTTACCGGTGAGGCCGATTCAACGCACACACTTACACTGAACTGGAACATACACACACACTCAACGGACTTATTGCCTATTCTGTATATATTTATTTTTGGTGCTTCTATTGAATACACTTTAAGGTATTATTCCATCTTGTTTGTTGTGTTTATGTTGTGAACAAATAGAACATTTCTATTCAAAGAAAATCATATAGAGGGTATAAACCGTAGTTTTTTTTGTGTATCCTGCCTTAATTAAGCTGAGTGTTACATATTGGTGGCCCGTATGGGGACCCTTTATTATTGTTCTTTGTGTGTTTTTTTTTTAAGATGGATGTAAGGAATACTGATACAGTGACAGAAGTTGTTAATACTGCTGATGACCTAGTTACTTTTGAAGATGGCCAGAATGATATGGAACTTACAAATGTTCAAGAGATTCCCAGGTCTTTTGTGACTAGACGTAATCCTACTGCTGAAATAACTTCAATGCTTAGTTCATTGTACATTTCTGATGCTGAACAATCTGATGATGATGATGATGATGAGAGTTGTACACAAAATGTTGAGAGGGTACAATCATTGCAATCAGAACTGACTCAATGTAAAGTTGATTTATTGGCCCTTGATAACAAAGTACATACTTTAGAACAAGATTTCAAACAGTCAATGGACAGTACATTGAATCGGGAAACCAGTTTCAGACAGGCTGTAGATACTAGCTTGGCAAGGTTGGAGGATTATTTTGCAGAAGCGCTGGAAAAATTAGAAAAGGCTGTGACAAATTGTTTTCTGAGGAGAGATGCGAAATGGGAAAGTCAAATGAGAAAAATGAGGCTCACTAGCACCCCCACACTCACCAGATTACAGGCCTATTCTCCAGATTCCTCCCGATTTTCCACTGTCCCTCAACCACTTACCCCAACTCTAGTATCTAGAGAGAAAATTACCACTCATAAACCCCTCAATGATACTTATGACGTTCAACATCCGATGTATGATAGACACTCTAATGTGCTTACCTCCTCAGTAGTGGCAGGTTCATCCTCATTCTGTGCCCGACCTCCTATCCGCATTGAATTCCCCTCTTTTGGTGACTCCTGTGATACGGCGGAGGTGCTCAACTTTATCGAACAATGTGAGAACTTCCTGGAGATCCGGCCCCTTCCCAGTACTGAACTCCTAGGAACCTTGAGCACGGTGCTGAAGGGACCTGCTCTGAGCTGGTGGAAAGCGGAGAAGGTCAAGGTAATGGATTGGAAATCCTTCAAAAAGGCATTTATGGCTGCTTTTCTTTCAGATGATTACCTCTCAGAAGTGGAGGAAAAGCTGAGGACAATGGTTCAGCAGCCACAACAGCGCCTGAGGGACTTTGCATATGACTACCGGGCCCTATGTCTGAAATGGAAGCCAGAGATATCTGAGGAGGACTTAGTAAATCGAATACTTAACAACATCAACCCCAGGGTTGCGGGATGTATGAGGGGAACCGTCAACTCGGTTGAGCAGCTGGTGAAGGTTGGATCTATGGTGGAAAAGGATCACATGGGAGCCAAAGACTACTGGCAAAAAGTCAGTACTCAGAGCAGCAAAGAAAAGACCAACAAAAAATCTGCTGAACGTACCTTTCCAAAAAACCTGGCTGGAGTAACACTAGCACAACCCCATCCCATGTCCTCTCTCCTGATGGTGCCTGTAAGGGTGAATGGCAAAGAAGTGAAGGCTGTATTAGACACAGGTAGCACTTACACTTTAATGCAAGAAAGCCTGTGGAAACAGTTGAAAGGTGAGATTCCCTCAGTTGTTACCTCCAGTCCACAGAGGTTCATAATGGCGGACGGCACGATTCACCAGTCCAGAGATCTGCAAAGGATTAAGATTCAATGGCATGACCAAGATTGCAGTTTGGATACTTATATCCTAAAAGACACTCACCTCGCATTTCCTCTTATTGCTGGTCTGGATTTCCTGAGGGACACTGGAGCGGTCCTAGAAGTGGGAAGAGGCCGATATGGGTTAAGATCTGAAAAAGGAAACAACTATTACCCTTTCTTGCCATCGCAGATTCCAACAGGTCCTGTG